TCTTCCATCCATCCATCCCCTTTTCTCCCACTGTTCATGAACTGTTCTTATGTACTCTGTCTCACTCTCTGCAGTACAGTACCAGCTATCTGTCTCTGTCACTTCCTGTTCTGAGCTGCTACATTCATCGGGGTCCTTTAAGCGCCATCACTCACACACTGTGGTCAGCTGCAGGGAGTTAAATATGTGAAACTGAATATACATTAAATACTGCGGTAGGATGCGTGTATGCGTCGCCCTCGGTGACCTCTCCATGTGTTAATACAGCTCACTGACTTGTCTGTCAGACCTTATAAAGCAGTGAGCGCTCCATCTGGTCCACTGGCTGCGAGTTCACTCACTGACTCAGTGTGTGTGAGTGCAATATGGAGTGACACCTTCAATATATGCGTGAGAAGTTGTGTATATTCATTTATTAAAAAAGGCCTTAATTGCTTTCGAAATGTCTTAAATTAAACTTTCAAAAGTCGTAAACTATGCTCAGTAAAAATAATCAGTTAATCACTACCAAATGTTTCACCAAGATTTTGTAATTGGCACTAAATTGTATTCGGCGTTACATTAAAGAAAGGTGGAAGATGTCTTAAATCTCACTTGCCTTAAAGGTCCCATGTCATGGCCATTTCCACTGATCATAATTCCATTGTTGAGGTCTACTAAAATAAATTTAAATTGTGCAATTTTCCAAACTCACATTGGTTTCTCATACAGCATCTATGTATAGTATGTGTATTCACTCTCTGTCCTAAATGGCTTGTTGGAGCTCCTGCACCCCCCTCCCTGTGAGCCCAGTGGCCGTCTGCGAGACAGCGAGACACTGCGAAACTCAGCCTGGGCACACACGCACACCCGCGAGTTTGTGTGTGTGTGCCCAGGCTGAGTTCCGCGGTGTCTCGCTGTCTCGCCGACCCCACACCAGTGAGCCAGCTCACACTGTCCACTCCTCGCAGCAGCGAGCCTCGCAACGTCCCGCCGTGTGTGTGTGTGTGCGAGGAAGTCCGCGGATTGGTCCAAACGTAACGGCTCCGCGGACGTACCGTCACTATACCCGAAATATGTCACTATACCCAAGAAGTAAACAATGGAAAAAGAGAAATCCCCAAAGAGGCGTTCTGGGGCAGCATAGACAGGTATTTTCTGTGTTAGAGTTTTACTCGCTACAGGGTGTACTTTGAGGGTTTGTGACTTTGCAGACCGTTTACATGCATAAAAAGCTACATAACACACAAGAGAATAGAAGAATAGGGAGGGATGAAACCCTCTTTAATGGTCACACATGCAGAGCACACAGCACACACAGTGAAATTTGGCCTCTGCTTTTAACCCATCCTAGTACCAGGAGTCTAGTACTAGGAGCAGTGGGCAGCTATTGTACAGCGCCCGGGGAGCAATGGGAGTGGGGGGGAAGGGGGGTGTCCGGTGCCTTGCTCAAGGGCACCACGGCAGGGCAGGAGGTGAACTGGGACCTCTCCAAGTAGCAGTCCACACTCCATATTTAGGTCTGGTCGGGGACTTGAACCAGCGACCCTACGGCTCCCAGTCCAAGCCCCTACTGACTGAGCCACTGCCGGACAGGGGACGGGTAATAACCAGAAAAGCATGACATGGGACCTTTAAGCTGTCTAGTGTGTCTGCGGAATGGAGTTTGGCAACGTTTATCAATGTGGCCTACTGTAGCTGCATGTATTTGTCCTCACAGGAAATACACACACACACAGAATTACAATAAAAAAATCTGCCTGCACACAGAGAAGGTTGAGAAAGGTGACTCAGGCTGAACATTTACATTTTGTGTATTAGTGCCTTGAGGCACCTCACCCAGTTTGACACATAATTGTTCCTCAATTTAAATATTAAGCGCTCAAATAGTGCTACGTTCCTATGCTAATGCTCTGATCAATGAGTTGACACATTTTTTTTAACCAAAAGCCTTCTGTTGTGGTTATTTATGAGCTCTGATGGTCCTGCAAATTTGGATAGGGCAAGCTATTTATTCAGGCACAGTAAGGAAAAACTCACAAGCACATGAGTTATATACAATTGTTGATTAGCAGTATTATTAATAGGCGCTAAAATTGGCTAATCAGACATGCAGCATCCCCATGTAGCCTGAATAGAATCATCCTTTTTTCCACCACTGCTTATGTTCGATTGGCTCCTTTGAATACATGCATGCTGACATGTAAGCTAGTGAGGAATGTGTGTATTTTGGCACATATACTTGTGTTTTATGTGTGTGAGTGTGATCCCCCTAATGAAACCGATTGGGAGCTAGAAGCCATAAACGAGACTAATCTCTCTCTGCAGAGGAAACTATGCTGACTGTCGGTGTCTCTGAATGTTTTTACACGGATGATGTTATACAAGCTTACAGCGAATATTTATCCGTGTGCATATCTGTTCACAAGCAACTTAAATACGAGTTGTGTTTAATAAGAAGCACACTGACGAGCTCTGAGCAGGTGATGTTTTACTCGGGTGAAGCATTTGTTGACCTGTGTATTATGCAAAATGGATTCTTCCTTATAACAGATTTCTAGAGCTGTTTTGAGCTCTTTTTTTGGTTTGTTTTGTGTTTGTCTAGTTGCCAAACTCTAATTGCTGCATTTATTTTGTTTCCTAGCTTAAGGCAATCTTTGTCTCTCTGAAATCCATCCCTCCCTCCTCCTGTGCCCATTTGATTGTCTTGACATTTACGCTTGCCAAATGTTGGAAATAAGGCAGTTAGCTGCTTTTAAACTATTAAAGACTGAACATGCACTTTTGTCTTTGAAGAATTGGGTGAAGGAATTGGTTTGGATCATTCACCTCCTCCAGGTTTGTTCACAGTCTGAACACTACAAAGATGGGGGAAGAAACCAAAAACATGACTATGCTCATCAGATAGTTTGAGATATTTTCAGACATAGGTGGCGCTGTGGCCTTTTCCGGAGCCGTGTGCCTTCTGGGAATATGTGATTTCCTGATTTGCAGCTTGTGTTTTAGATATCTGATTGCTCGCAGCCCTCTAACTTCATTCCCATCTTTGGATGTTGTTTTCTTCAATGATTTCCTTCCCTCAAAACAGGGTTTATTTCATATTCAGCAACACTTTGATTATAGGAATAATCAGTGATGAGGCACCGCTCTGATTGGTTAAATTGGTTAAAATAGTTGGAACATGAATCAGATTGCTTTGCTCAAATCTTCTGTGAAATGCGGTGATAATAATGATGCGTTTTATTTATATAACATTTATAGAGCAATTACACTCTGCTTGCAGCTCCCACTGGGCAAAATTAAACTAGATCTGAGACGTTTTCATTTACTTTTATGCAGGTGCTACATTAGCTTTAAGATTCTGTCCGATTCCACACAAACAGTTATTTGGGGACAAAAAGATGTAAAGAAAAGAAAAGCTTTCCCTGATTCATGTTCAAATGTAAAAAGAAATGTCCTGTAATAAATACTCAATGAAGATGTACACTGTTGAAAAGAAAAATCCAAAACAGCTCTGTTATTCTCTGCTGAATGAATAATGAGCTATTGAATAACTTTAAAATGAATAAAGAGCAGTACATGGTCATTCTAATGGCACATTTGCACCGCGCCGAGCTGATCAAAGTGAGAACATTTCTGTTCAAAGAAGAGAACAAAAACATCTTTGGCAGACTAAATGGAAATGTTAGATCACCTTTTTAGTAGGTTACGGTGATGTTTAAAGCTGAACTAAAATAAATGCATTTGGAGATGCGCTCATGAGCGTTTTTGCGTTGGCAGTTAACAGCTTGCCGAAACGAGCATGGAAGTGCTCCCCGTGTACTCTTACCCGCATTTTATTTGAAATGTGAGCACTTTCTTAATGCATTCTGTTTCTTCATATGCGAACCATTGCTTTTCCTGCCCACACTGCCTTTAGTTTTCTATTTATTACATATTTGTCTGTTTGCTTAAGACTGTGAGATGGGGACGCAGACTTAGAAAAAGTTAGACCTTTGGAATTTAGAGGATTTTGTCCCAGTTGGTTAATATATTCACGTGGAATAGACAAGAACAATACATGTTTTTTGCAAGTTCCTACAAACGTACGCAGATGTTTTGTATATAAGTTCAACAGAGTGACATATTGTCTATTCTTGAAGAAATATTATGCTCATTTTCAGGTTTCATATTTGTATTGATTCCTTCTACTGTGACATGTTTACATGCTTTAATGTTTAGAAAGGTCTTTATTCACGTCAAATGTGTCGGAGCGCTAGCCAATAGAAGCGCAAGTGGTCCATAGTGATGTCACTATTGCCCCTTTCACACCGCCTCGGAGCTGGAGCTGGAAAAGCGCCGGTTTTTCCTGTTCACACCGCAGCGGCGCCGCGTCATAGCTCCGGAATGCGGTTCACTGACGATGTTGTTGTTGTGAGCTCCGTTGGGGAGAAAATCAGCGATGTAAACGGTGACGTCATGACGCAGCAGCGGCAGCTGGGCGGTGTGAACAGAGCGGGAGCTGAAAAGGGAAACCGGAGCTGAACCAGAAAAGCTCTAGCTAGGAGCTAGAAAGGGAAAAGCGCTGGTGTGAAAGCCGCATATGTTACGGCATATCTTACGGCATATCTTACGGCATATCTTACGGCATATCTTAGAAGACATATTATGGTCCCTTCCAATACACTAATTTCTTTACATTTATTGTACAAGCAAGTGATTGTGAATCTGACTGCAGTGTGAAAATGTGCTTTTATGATGATGAGCTTTTAATAAATCCCCCTTGATTAATGACCTAATTATTACAAGGCAGGAAAATGATGAAAAAAGCCCTCATGCCTCTGTGCAAATAAAACATAGAGTTTATTTTCTCATTTCATGGAGTAATATCTGCGAGGAGAGAGCACTGTGTTTTTGTTCTTCTGCTTTCATGGCTCATTAAGATGAGTGAGTGCTTCTTCATGACTGTTTACACGGCTGACATTATTATTAGGATAACTCGGAGCTGTAAAAGTGCCTTTTTCTCTCCATGTTTTCTGCAGGTGGGCTACGAGAGCGCGGGCACTGTGGAGTTCCTGGTGGACCGACAAGGCAAACACTACTTCATCGAGGTCAACTCTCGACTGCAGGTTGAACACACGGTCACTGAAGAGATCACCGAGTGAGTAGCAGATGTTTACATGTGCGGATGGTTGATGCAGTTTTTTTTTTTTGTGTGTGTTGTCTGGTGCAGCTTCAAGGTGAGATGCTTCCCCAGAAACTTGACAGTGAATGTTGGAGGCCTGGAGGAGGCTGGGGTTGCATGATTACCAGAAACGTCATTACCAACATTTGGTCAATACTGAGATCACGATTATACAACATGATTTCATTACACGTCATCTTTGCTTTTATCCAAATTGACAAACATTTACCCCCCGAGCCATAGTGGTTCCAATCTATATACGTCATGCATTTAGAAATAAAATGGTGTAGTCTTTAACACATTGATCTGGTGCAATTTGAGAGCGAAATGAGATGCTAGATCTATGAAGAACATTATCGAAACTATTTAAATATGAACACAATGGTCGTATAATATGCATTATGATGACACAACAGAAAAAAGGACATTCCAAAGCCGAACTACAGCTGTCTTTTACCCGGGCATGATCTCTCACACCAGACAAAAACAGAGCATCCTTTCCAAACAGAGTGCGGCAAAAGCAACTATTTCCTTTTCATCAATTATGTTGTTATCATAGAATCCTCACCAGCCAAAATTGTGATTAATCAAAGCTCCTAGGAAGTGAGCCAGGTTGACGCACATGTTCGTAGTGTGTCAGTGCCAGTCGGTGCCAGTCAGTGACTTCATTGGGCCCAAAAACACACTTTCCCATTGACCTACATTGAGGAAGAAAGGTCTTTAACCCAGCATTTGTTTGTTTTTTAGCTAAATCAACGACACAGTTCACACACTCTTTTAGTCCTTATTTAAATCACTAGGATCAACAAGTGGTAACATTTATTAAAAGAAGGTAGATTGAAGGGAGGGCCTCAGGAAAACTTAAGTCTGCATGATCCGGGTACTTTTTGAATCTACAGTCAGTCTATTTTTGGCTTCAAGTGCCACTGAGCAACTTTTAGAGGAATGAATGGGCCCCCACCTCCGACTCGGTATCCAGTTTTCTTTATACATCCATGGATGATCGATAAGAGTGGAGGCCATTTCAGACTTAACGGAAGAAAAAAAACATGGAAAAGGAAAATGGACGGATTGAGGAAAGGTAAAAACGAGGATGGATGGATGAAGAGTACAAAAAGTGGGATCAGTGAGGAGATAAGCGGGACGATGAGGTCAGAGAGACAATGGGAGTGAAAGAGAGGGAGGATGATGAAAGATATAAATAGCACTCTGATTCACTGATGACCTGTGAGATTTGCTCGGCTGAAACAACACAGATGGGTCTCAAACTTACACATGCCACAAACTCAAAAACCCACAGGTCTACACGCCCTGCGGTCACACCCATAAATCTGTGCTCAGCACTGATGGCTGTACACAGAAAACTACAATTACGCTAATTCGTATTAGATCCTCGCCTTAATTAGATCAATTAATTAATTAACGTGTGCAACTAATATGGGAAGTGATGGGCTGGGGGTAGATTTGCATAAACACACAATGATGTCAGCTGTTACCATGGCAACCGAACATGACTGACAACTTTATAAACCGTGTTTTTTTTTTTGTTGCTGTACTGATCAATCTCTACAGTTTTGTTTGGCATCTTTCTTGTCTTTGTAGTTGTTTTTCCCCTCTTCACGCCAAGGAGCTCTTATTCATCTTGCCATGATTTGCATTACAAAACAAAGTGAGCTAAATCAGCTCTGGATGTGTACAAAGACTCATCAGTAAACATTGAAGTCTTGAAAATCATTAAGTCAAACCAGCACCCCGCTCACAGCCAAAAAGTCGATTTGTTTCCCCAAACTATTCATTTTGTGTTATTTTGAGGAACACAGTGTCTGCTTTTAAATGTATCCTGTCAGTTTAGGTCTTTAAATATTTATGCACGCCAGAAAATGTGAGTAATGTGACTTCATATTAATGATTTTAAAAGACAGATGTGACAGCAGTAATATTGGTCATCTATCTATTTTAGAGGCAGTCCCTTTTTATGATTTTGAAAGAGGATGCTCTATTTGATTTTTCAAAAGTTGCATGTTTTCCCACCTGCTACATGCTTGGTCTTGACTCAGTGTTACCTCAGTTAAGGAAACATGTTATTAACTAAATTGTCGGTGGGTTAAAAAGCCCCCTGACACTCTCTGACTTAATTTACTTTGGCTGATTAGACATCTTCCCAGGATCTATGTGGGCGGTGACTCCCATGGTATCTTTGTATATCTTAATATGGAAGACCTATTTCACTTTTATGATTCCTTAAGGAGTCAATGATGCACCTCCGAAGACTCCCATAGTAGCTCCACCCAACTCGTAAGCATCTTCAACAACCAAAAGCACCTCTCAGGGTTTGCAGACGCAGTTTAAAACTGCCATGAAATCAAAGTAAACGTTTTAAATGAGTTTATTTGATAATGTATTGAACCGGTTGTCACTCATCACCTGTATCTGGTAAAACAATGACAAAGAAAAGTCGTTTAGTAATGGTATTTTAGAGTTTGACATCCTTTCAAATGATGTTGTTGACTCATCGTGTACTCAGGGATGCTTACTATGTTTTATGGATGCATGAAATGCTTTTAATATGGACAAATCTTACCATTGGGATACATCAGTTTAATCCCATGGATAAACCTGAATCACTATCATTCCCTTGCTGCGTAAACTAATAACTTTGCTGACAAATATTTCACTTTCTTTCTCAAACAAGTTGATTGAAAAAAAAAGATATGTTAAACTTGCTCTGTCTTGTTAGTGTCATACTGCTACCAGCTGTCCATCTGTGTTGATATATAAACAAAATCGGGGTCTGATCAAAACAATATTGCCCCATAATACTACCAGTGGTCAGTAACTCCTCAGGGTTACTTGAAGACTGACACCGGGAACATTTCCAGATTAAGTAGGATGCTTACTCTGCAATAGATATTTATAAAAAGTGGTAATTCATTAAAAAACAAACACACTTTAGATTATTTGAAGACGGGTCATCTGTATGATGGGTGTTTCTGCATGGTTCTTGTGTGTCTAATATCTTCATTTAGCCTCTTATCTTTTATAAAAGTGTGCTGAGCTCTTCTGTGCTTTTTCTAGGAAGCAATAATGTAGGGAGAAAATGGGATATTTAACTATCATAAATCATGCATTTCATGTGCACAGAGCAGATATAACTACAGTGTAAACTTTACCGAATTTCTTTTGTATAACTGCTAAGGAATTCAGTGTCATATTCAATCCATTTAAAGGTGAAAAAGGGCTAAAATAAGCAAGGAACTTGGCCATTATCATACTCATATCTAGTTGCAACTCACAGCGTATGTCATGCTTGATCAGTTGTGAGGATAAAATGAGATGGGAAAGATTTTGACTTCAATAGATTTGTTTCTCTAATCTGCATTTTACCTCCACCTGCCCTCCGTTTGTTCATCTCCTCCTCTTTTCCTTTCTACCTGCTTACTTGTATGCATGGACACACACTCGGGTACACACTTACCCTGTTCTCCTATCAGGGAGACAATTATTTGGTAGAAAGCCATTATGACACATCCTTTTCTCTCTAGTCAAATGCCATATCCTCTTATCCTGCAGAGAGAGCTTTAAATCACACGGAAAATGTGACGTTTTGGGGAATTGGGGTCATTTAAATCTTCAGGAAAGCAGTTGGTACTCACAGCACCCTGAATCAAAACGCCACATTTTTAAAGTTCCCCCCGTCACAGGCAACACCTTTAATTTGCACAGCGTTGATTTCAGAATGAGTTTCGGCTTTCAGCAGCCACTGCCAAAACAAGTCTTTCCTACAGGAACTCGATGTGCATCCATCTAAATAGTGGGGGACATGTACCCTTTACAGTGGCACATGCTTTACATTAGAGTATAAATGACTATTATGCGTTTATTTGAACGTTACATCCATTAGTCTCCCAGCGTTCCACTCCACTGCTCTCCCAATCTGAGGTCTGCGAGCACATTCATTCTTGTTCCTCTGTGTTTGAGTCGGACTGTTACTAATAGACTTGTCAGCGCGGTATTTCTCATACTGAGTTGTGAAACTCCCCTTTTAAACTTTCTCTTTTCTTCCCCTCCTCCTCCTCACTGTGTCTTTCATCACTTTCTTGCCTAATTCCTTTTTCATCAATCACTCCCTTTGCTAGCTTTCTCCAACCTGGCTGCAGTTGAGCCTTTCCCCTTCCTCTTTTATCTTCATTCTGTCTCTGTCTTTGTCAATCCCCCTCTGTCTCCCTGTGAGCTGTGTTAGGGAGAAGTGAACTACGTGGAGTTAAACTAGTAGTTTATTAACTAGTTTAACTATTCACAAGTATATAAAGAGACATTTGTATGTTATGGAACTGAGTTGAAATGTCCAAATTAAAAAAGCTGGCACTATTTGAACACAGTTGTGGCATTTTATAATAGCATGTGACTTTATTTTGCTATTTCGTAACACATAGCACACTTTTTTCTCGATTTAGCTGGTACTATTCTTTCTATTTAACTTAAGTAGCTTAATCTTACCACACTCAATTTCTCTTGATGGTAGCTTCGCTGTGGATCAACGTCTCCCACAGTTAAGTCATTGGTAGTTTGCAAAGCTATACTTTCAAGTACCCTTCCAAACGCTGCCTCTGGGTGTTTCTCAATGTCGAGGACGCTTCCTTGGTAGGACATGTCTTCCGAGTCACTTCCTTCAGAAGCGAGGCAAGAATCCTTCCTAGTCTCGGAAAACGAAGAATGGTGGAACGGGCTAACGGGCTAACGGGCTAACGGGCTAACGGGCTAACGGGCTAACGGGCTAACGTCATATGCGAGGCCCCGCCTTAAATGGAGCGCGATTTCTGCCAAAGATTTTGAAATTGGTCCGTGCGCAAAGCATTGTGGGGATTTTAAGACCGCAGAGGATACACATGTGCAGCCTCGAAATGTCTCGCTACGAAGGACGCCGGGCTCGGTAGAATTCCAAGGTGCCTGGACATTGGAACAGTCCTTCGGCAGGA